TACTCATTCCGATTCATTTGTTGGGACTGCGCGTAACGGTTCGCAGTGAAGAAAGAGTTTGGTCGCAGAAAAATGATCGTCGGGATAGACCGAGTAAATTACCAAGTCTCCGGGGGAAAGACTTCTGAAAAGCAACGGCTGACATGTAAGAAGTTGAAATTTAGCTTCGACACGAATACCGGTGCGTGTCGTAACACAATTGAACGAATTCAGAGGGAAGCCTTTACAATCCGCAAGTCATATGATGACTAGCCATGGCTTCGCAAAGATATATTAAAGGATTATGCCATGACCGACGTCATTTTGCAACTCATCCATACCGAAGGGAGTAAGCTCTAGAGACAAGTATGTACGGCCCCTTTGAAGGCCGCACAGATGAAACTTCGTGTAGAAAACGATTAAACACGGCTACAAACCAGTCACTATTTGAATGACGTTCATTTATACCGGGACCAACATTTGCTGTCAACTGCGTCTTGACTATTATTAGATCCATGAAAGAAAAGATACCCACTATGACTGTCCTCATGCAATTATATCCCACAAAATAATTTTATAAAATAAAGATGTAAGGAGGCCAAAACCCAACCCAACAAATAAGTGCTTTAAAACAATCGGTTGGTCCTCGAAAACCCTTAACCTAATATTTTCAGAACAACCTCAGTTCAGAAAACAGGCCGCCTACACAATCTAAGACGCAGTGAAAGACAACCGCAAATCGAAAACCTCTGTCACATATCATTATTTTGACGGTCCAGTGCACACTAAACGCCAGCCACTCTTGCTAAAAATGACTACCAAGCAATAAATAGTTGTCTTTGCTTCCCAACTTTAAAATTTACTCTACAGAAAAACCCAATAAATCCCTCAAAGCAGCAACTTAATCGAAGTATTTCTTTGTGCCCGTTCAAAATAATAATAGGGCATCATATGTCAACAACGTTATCACCCACAAATTCCTTGAAGCTGTTTTGATAGCTCCTGAAAGCATTACAAACTTCTTCTGAAGCCATTCGCCAAACTCGGTGTCAAGTAAAATTAGTTAATTTATTGAGAATCACGACTACGTTTTTACCTGGTCTTCTGTCGTTGTATATCAGCAGCTTCCTAGACTTTTTTGCTTCCCACCGCGAACACGATGCCGACTGTATATACACAACTTCCTGACAATTTTCGAAATGTAACTGCCATGTGCTACCACGGACAAC